TTTTAGTTACTGAGGATGAGGGTTTTAGTTACTGAGGATGAGGAAACGAAATGTAGACACAATGTATGCTTAGAATTTTTCTCTTCTTCCAATAAATTATTAATGACAAAGTAGCCGTATCGATCAGAGTTGAGAAAGAAATCATAGGCCAAGGGGTTAAATTCAACTCCTCATCGGATAGTCATCATCAGCGATTACGCGAATACGTTTTCTAACAAAACATTTCCAAAACATCTAGTTCCTTAGGTTTAAACGAACTAATATCAATCTTTCTACGAACAAATCTAGTGTTAAGAGCTAATACGGATTTATAAAATCATTCTCCCGTCGCTTCTTGGAACAGATACGTTATTTTTCAAGAATTCCCCGCGCGGAAGCTACGGTGTTATTGTAAATCATCGATTTCCGGGAAAAACGGAGCGCAAACACGAGAAAGGAACGCAAACGCGGCTGGCTCTTTGCCCTTTAATATTTGCTATCGCCGGTAGTTCGAAATTTACGCTGAACCCCAGAGAAAATGTTATCTTTTCGCTCGTAACTTCCTTTTTTTCGTAGCGGCGCGCGAGGAAACGCGCGGTATCAGCATTAAGGCTCGTTTGCACGGGTGTTCCTGCAACGTCATACCGTTGTCGTGACGTTAACTGCGTGTACACGGAGTAAGTTAGAACCGGGCTCTGTTCAACGCTCAAAAATCTCGCTTTTACCCTTCCCCACTCGACCGTACTTTTCTCTCTATTTCCCTCTGCAACGATAAGCGACCGCTGTTTAAGATAATTTTTGAATTGTCGCCGCGAAAGTTTGAAAACCGCCTGGACAACAATATAACTCGCGAGCATTTTATACACATGCTCGCGCATTTTCGGCGCATCTGCGGTCGTGCGTGCACTTTGAAAAGCAAAATGCAATTCCGCGGATCTCTGATTCATGGTGGAAGTTAAAGAATAATGGTTCTTTTCTTGTCGATGTGCTCGATGTTTGTACGTGCATGAAAGAATTGTTTAGAAACCTTTAATTGGTTCGAAAGTTGTTTTGATAAGTGAATTCTTTTGTTTTCATTTTGAGTTATGGTTTCGTTACATGAATTGGATTTGAGGAATAAAGTAAATTAATAGAAGAATTCTTTAGAAATCTTTAATTGGTTCGAAAGTTGTTTTGATAAGTGAATTTTTTTGTTTTGGTTTTGAATAAATTAAAGATAAATTTAGGTCAATTGGGTTTCATTATTATCGGTTGGATTTTATGAGTGAAGTAAAGAAATAGAAGAATCGTTTAACATATTTCACAATGCTAGAATCGCGGTTCAAAAATATTTAATTAATCGATGAATTCAGAATGTAGGGAGAACGAGATATTAAAATACTTTTCAGTCCACTTTATAACTGTTGCCTCGTTATTCCTCTTTAATTACATTTGTTCATATTAAACGTAGCAAAGTTCAACTAATTCTAACTGGTCCTGCTAAAAGGACCAGCTTTAGTATAAAACAAGTGATCAGACGTTTTTTAGCTGCAGCGTCCTCGTAAATACCGTTCATATTTACGCGGCACAGGCTGCATACGCTTTCAAAGAGTGGTCGCTCATTTATCATAAAGCACGTGGAAAGATATGAAAAAATTCTACAGAAGTTTTTTGGCTCGAACGAGTTCATTAGAAACTATATAATTTTCTTGCTGGTATAATATTAACTTACAGATAAAAACCAAACTGGAAATACGAGCTTCAAATACTGCAAATAATATTTTTCACTTTGTACTTAACCCTTTGCTGATGCTACTTAATTCAACTATAATTTAAAATGGCGTTTTACTAATCTATTTGAGAACAGTTGAAAATTATTCCATTCGTAATGAAAACGTAATAGAATAAACTAATCATCGCAATGAAATCAAATATCGAACTTGTATCACTGTAGTGTATTTCCACAATCTTTGGAATAATTACATATCAAGCCTAATCATATTCACTTCACATTCGATTTACCTTCAATATTTCTCTATAAGCCCGTGTAACTTTGAAGTCACACACCAATAGACTGCGTTAAATTGATTCATTAAATTTTTTATTGCAAAATGACGACTGACATTAAATGATTAATCAACTTAAACTTTTATACACGTTTATGTTCATTGTAACTTCAAAGTTACAAAATATATTCGTTTTAACGAAACTATTCGAACTATTGAATACATTTTCAATTTCTGTTCATACGTTGATATTTATTAATTTCATAAATTTTGTTGTAATCACGAAACAAAATTCGGCCCATAGAGGGATAAGACTTAATCTTCCTAATCTTCCAAAGCACTTCATAAAGTACCGCAAACAAATTATAACAAATTTGTATTGTCATCTCCATCATGACACACAAGTGCGAAAAGTCAATTTCGGAAAACGAACTTATTAACCCTTTGCACTCCAAAGGTGCCTCTCAGTCACCACTCGATCGGTGCATCGAAATTGTAAAATTTCGTATTTAACATTAAGTCTCGAGTAATCTGTCGATACGTGAAACGTGGAAATAAAATATCACTGTTACCCTTATTTCGTGAATAGATTCCTCTTAAGTTAGTTTAAAAAAATGCCATCTATATCTCACGAAAATAAATTGAATATTTCTAGTGACAAATTTTTGGAGTGCAAAAGGTTAAACCGCGATAGGGGTGAACATTGCGAAGAAGGCAGCGAGAGCACGTCCTAGAACAAAGGGCCAGCTACAATGGCACCATCGAATTCCACACCTGTTCATAAGGAAGGACAATCGAGCGTGAGCAAACGAGCCGCGAGAGGCCGCCCCTCACCCGGAAAATTAATTTCCTCGTTGCCGAGGTTTTTCTTCGCTCCCCGGCCCGCCGTGTCCCGGCGTGAACACCTTTCGCCCTCTAATTAGCAGACGCGTGAGTTTCAATCAGTTTCCGGATGCGACGACCCGGTTTCACCGAGTCGCGGAGTACAATCGCGTTTACTACGTTAACAAGAGCCGCCACGCTCCGCTCGGCCCGGCACAGAATTCCGCTAAAAGCGATTTAGAGGATTGCCCGTTATAATTCCCCGTTATATCGACCGAAAAGATTCGAAGTTCATTTACTCGCGGTTTACTCGTGCTAATGGGGTTGACGCTGCGCGGAAAAGATTTTTTAGGGGTTCTGCGATGGAATTGATTGTTTTTGGAAATGTAATGGCGCTGAAGGGGTTGACGCTGTCTGGAAAAGATTTTTTAGAGGTTCTGCGATGGAATTGATTGTTTCTGGAAATGCATTTGACGCTTATTTTTGGTTGGTTGTTATTGTAAGAATAATGTGTTTGTGGAGGGAAATTTAGTGGTGCTGAAAGGGTTGACGCTGCGCGGAATAGATTTTTTAGAGGTTCTGCGATGGAACTGATTGTTTCTGGAAATGCATTTGACGCTTATTTTTGGTTGGTTGTTATTGAAGGAATAATGTGTAGAGGGAAATTTAGATTCATTAATTTTTTAAAATTGAGGAAATTCTGTTTATCAGTATCAGTTATAATTTTCTTACTGTATTTTTTAAGAAATAAATCAAAGTAAATTTGTTTGAATAAATGTTGTCTTTTGATATTTCTTTTGTAATGACACAATGTTTGTGATCTAATTGAATAAGCACTTTTTTTCATGGACACTTCGAATTTCAATCACTTCGGAATTTTTAATAATATTGTTTAGCACTCAAGCAGTTAATAGTTCATTTCTGTAGCGAAACTTTCAGGAACTTGTACATTTCATTTCGAAAGAGAGAAATTATAAATATTCATGGGTTCTTTTAATTCGCTTTATCAATTTGCTTTATTCGAGTGAAAAGGAAAAGTATCCTAGCATTTGAAATTAATCATGAGACGTGTCATGCAAATTATGTCTCTGTAGCAGAGCCAACGGAATGCAAAGGGTGAATGTTATAATTTGTTAAAACGTAGCCACTGCAAGGCAAAATTGAAGTAATGTATTTTACTATCTACCCGTATGAAGATCAAATTTTCTCATTGTAACTTTTGAATTTTAGACTTTGAAGTGTTGCTGTTAAAACAGAAAACAGTATCGAATTTTACTGTATTTCGTATAGATGCAAAAAAATCCACTTTGTATGGATTTTCGAGCTCCTTGCATCTCATAAATTTAGATAGATTTCGGCTTTCTCAGTACATCGCTATATAAATGAATTTTAACTCTGGCCAAAGAATATGTGTCACACCTATACTGATATAATAATCAACGTACCAAAAATCGAGTCGAAATCAGTGTTTATCCAGCTTTCCTCGAAATTAAT